ATAATAATAATAATAATAATAATAATTCACAAGCCAAGGATTTTGTTTTACTGTTTCTCTTCAACCAAACCGCTTGACAGCCATCAGTTTCAAACTGTAAAGCCAAACAACCTTGATCTTGATATAAACTAGGGTAATAGATAGAGGGGTAATGCATTATAATTGAATTGTTTTCGTAGCAAAGCCCGCAAACATAATTAGTTTTGATAAAAAGAACAAATACAATGCAAGTGCTGATAACGAGTCAAGCCGCAAATTTCGTCGACAATGAGATAAGAAGTAACCGCATTTTCAATAGCAATACTCTTCCCGATACCGGGTATAAAAGGAAGAAGGAAACGAATTTTGATTTAAATCAAACCTCAGCTCGACGAACGTACCTTTTATTATTGTGCAAAGCGACGAAATGAGTAGAGCTCATTGAGCAAATAATGAAGAGATCAAAATCTTCCATGAATATCTGCGCATTAAATCGGTGCATCCGGATGTGGACTACAGTGAGTTACACAGGCCAAAGCATCTTTTGTATTTGCATTATGCAATGGCAAATGAGTTCTTGATAAGCCAAAGTCAACTATATATCAACTATGTATTATCATTGTGCAAAATATTGTAAAGCGTGTGAGATATTATGATTTTATTACGGTCCTCAAACTTTTCACTGTTTGTTGTTGTATGTCTAGGTGCCTCTTATACATATATGTGACTACTCACATATCTATACAACATTTGAGGTGCAGCAAAAAGCTTTAACGCTTTTTTACTGGCCGCACGCTCTTCAAGCCACGGCCGACAGATAACTAGCCAGGCTTAACTAGCTCCGATAAAAATAACTTAAATAGACACGTTGATAAGAGCTTGCAAAAGGTATTTGTGATGCGTGATAAGAAAGAACACGTTTGTATTCTATATTCGCGCATTTCAATCAGAACGTCTCAATTAATTAATTTAYAACAAGTTATTTATCTAGTTTCTCAAAGGCTAAACGAAGTCGACATTCTGGCAACACTTGATGTCTTAATCAATTGACTTCAAATGTTTCAATGTGTAGTTAAGGCAATCCATTGTATTATCTATCGCATTTCTTAAGCACCACTTCAGCTAATTAGCTAATGGGAGGTGTAGTTTTTTTTTATCATTTTAAGAGTGGTTAATAAATTGCTTTCAATTTGTCGAGCGCTCTCACTATATACGACCCACTGTTAGCCCTCAGACTGCAAATAAAACACCCCGATAACAGGCTCATTTGCAACCAGAATAATCACACTGATAAGCAGCATATCAGTCAAGTTTATGAAAACAAAGATTGAGCGTCCATAAAACCGATAACGCATGACAACCCATTAGCAGCAAATGTACTTGTTCAGTGTGGATCAAAGTGGATGTGGAGACCTCAAGAGAGTATTAAGAGCGAACATCATTTTCTTCAGCCAATAGTCAGTTCGTAACTCGAGCCGCAGCAACTAGATCTGTGATACTGATCCATACGATAAAGTGAAAATGAGCAAAGCTGAGTGGGAAAACAATGAGGAAATCAAAATCTTTCGTGAATATTTGCGAATTCCTTCGGTCCACCCAAATGTAGACTACAGTGAGTGTGTAGGATATACCCTAGGGTAGATATATACCTTAAAGCTGTATAGTGTTACCCACTTATATATATAACTTAGTTATACTCGATTAACTGATTCTCTTCAATAGCCGGATGCGTGGAGTTTATTAAGCGTCAGGCAGCGAGCCTTGATCTCCCAGTGGATGTGGAGTACCCAGTGAACGATGCCAATCCCGTGGTTATTGTGAAGTGGTTGGGCACCCAGCCAGAGCTGCCGTCAATCATACTGAACTCGCATATGGATGTGGTGCCGGTGTTCCCCGAGCATTGGACGCACGATCCTTTCAGCGCCGATCTGGACGACGAGGGTCGGATCTACGCCCGTGGCACGCAGGATACTAAGGGCATTGGCACACAATATCTGGGTGCCATTCGAGCACTCAAAGCGCAGGGCTACCAGCCGAAGCGATCTATCTACGTAACCTTTGTGCCCGATGAGGAGCTCGGTGGAATTCTCGGCATGCAAGGATTCGTTAAAGGACAATACTTCAAAGCCCTCAACGCGGGCTTTTGCTTGGATGAGGGCTGCTCCAACATAGACGACTCCTATTTCATATTCTATGCAGAGCGAACAGCCTGGCGTAAGGAAAGCTAACCGCGGGATAAACCAATATTTGACCAACAATTTAATTACAGAGATTAGGTTTAAGGTGAGTGGCACGACAGGCCATGGCTCCCAGCTGCTGCCGAACACGGCCGCCGAGAAGCTGCACTATGTGATGACTAAGCTGCTGGAATACCGCACAAGCCAGATGGAGAGGATTAAGGGCCTGTCCAATAAATTTTCCGGCGAGGTGACCTCCGTTAATCTCACCATATTGAGCGGAGGCGTGCAAAACAATGTTCTACCTCCACTGCTAGAGGCGGTGTTTGATATTCGCATTGCCATCGACGTGGACCTAGTTGCCTTTGAGCAACAGATACGCGACTGGTGCGCCGAGGCAGGCAGCGGCATCGAGATTGAATTTGAGCGAAAAGATGAATTCTCGCCAGCCACGAAGCTTGACGCCTCGAATCCATTCTGGACAGCCTTTCAGAACTCGCTGAACGAACAGTTAGTATGCCCCATATATGCAAGCTGGCTCACTAATTTACACCTTTTCCACAGAAACCTAAAGTGCACGCCCATTGTGTGCCCTGGATGCACAGACAGCCGCTTCTTGCGGCCCTTGGGGGTCTCGGCTTTGGGATTTTCGCCGATGAAAAACATGCCCATCCTGCCGCATGCTCACGATGAATACACGCGTGCCGACATCTATCTGCACGGCATTGAGGTCTACACGAAGATCATTCCAGCTATTGCCAGTGTCTGAGATATACCAAACGTGCTTTATATTTGTGTCTGTTGCTCAATAAATAAAAAATAAATATAATAATAAATAAATAACATGCTATGAAAATATATTTCTATTTTCAGCAGCTATTGTCTGTGCCTAAGCCACAATTAAACAAGTGTTAAGTGTATGTTCATTGCTGAATCAATAAAATATAAACATAAACAAATAAATCAATCAAAAGCCGTAATATATTGATAAAAAATTATGAATTAAGACAACATGCAGATCGGCTTTTCAATTTTCCAACTGATGAAAATAACCGTAACTAAATAATATATAAAAGGCCTTATAAAGCCATAGAGATTTCTGTCTATATTCCTTTCAAATGGCGCAAGCCACAGAAATGCGGACTCATCAATGCCACGCCCATTGAATTTCGTTGACTGTTGCCTGTTTTGGAAATATAGATTTCACACATTTTCGACCGGAAGTGAGTAAATAATTAATTTAATTTTAATAAATTGCATAGACAAATATGTTCTATGAGACATGGCTGATTTTATCGCCAAGAACAATTACAAAAAAAAAGTGTCGGGCAAAGGTTATTCGAAAAATCCACATATAACTGATAACAATTGGTGACTTAGTTGTAAATATGATAAAAACAGACATTTTGTTAATGAACAAGCTTTATAATGGATGGCAGCATTACGTATATAAGCGTTGGGTCGATAAGACTGCCAAACAGTCGTCGGCCAGCACTGAAACCGTTCAGTGCTCTTATTTTGTGGTGCCAGCATCTCCAAGCATCTAAAGTATTTATAGTGAAAACGTGTTTATACATACTATATCATCCATTGATTGTTTATAATTGGCAAACAAAAGTCTTAACGAATATCTAAACAAAATGAGCAAAGCCGAGTGGGAAAACAATGAAGAAATTCAAATATTTCGCGAATACCTGCGTATACCCACGGTACACCCAAATATAGATTACAGTAAGTTTGTAAGATTGCGCTGATCTGCGATAAGCTGATTTATCAGAGCGCCGGCAGTATGCAAGCGCTTCAAGGGAGATTACATTAAACCGAACAATTTACAGCCGATTGCGTGGCATTCCTGAAACGTCAGGCAGCCAGCCTGGATCTGCCGGTGGATGTGGTTTATCCTGTGAACGAGGCCAATCCCGTTGTGGTAATGAAATGGGAGGGCACTGAGCCTGAGCTGCCTTCCATCATTCTGAACTCGCATACGGATGTTGTGCCCGTCTTTCTGGAAAAATGGACTCATGATCCATTCAGTGCGGATATCGATGACCAAGGTCGGATTTACGCGCGAGGCTCGCAGGATATGAAGTGTGTTGGCACTCAATATCTGGCCGCCATTCGCGCACTGAAGGCCTCCGGCTATAAGCCAAAGCGAACCTTCTACTTGACCTATGTGCCCGATGAAGAGGCTGGCGGATTCTTCGGAATGCGCGAATTTATTAATGGGGATTACTTCAAGTCGCTCAATGTGGGCCTCAGCCTAGACGAGGGCTCCTCCACATTGGATGACTCCTATTACGTCTACTATGCAGAGCGAACCGGATGGCGTAAGTAAATCCCCGGCACAATTCCGCGGAATATACCAATGAGTGCTTTCTACAGAAATTAGATTCAAGATCAGCGGAACAGCCGGCCATGGCTCCATATTGTTGCCCAACACTGCCGGCGAGAAGCTCAACTATATTGTGGACAAGATGATGGGCTTCCGCGCGTCCCAGGTCCAGGCACTCAAGGACGATAAGAGTCGTTTCTACGGCGATGTGACCACTGTGAATCTAACAATCGTGGAAGGTGGCGTGCAACGCAATGTGGTGCCTGCCCTGATCGAGGTGGTTTTCGATCTGCGCATTGCCATCGATGTGGATCTAGTTGCCTTGGAGAAGCAGATACGCGACTGGTGCGAGGAGGCTGGCGGCGGCATTGAGATCATATTCGAGCAGAAGGACGAGTTTGTGCCACCCACCAAGGTCGATGACTCGAATCCGTTCTGGACAGCATTCGAGGGCGCCTTGAAGGAATTGTAAGTATTTGTCAGTGCTCAAGTTGCGTCGCTCCTTCACGTTTCTCGCACCCCACAGCGACATCAAATACCACACCTACGTCTGTCCCGGCAACACCGACAGCCGCTTTCTGCGTGCCATTGGCATTCCGGCTATAGGCTTCTCCCCCATCAGAAACACACCCATTTTGCTCCATGATCACGATGAGTATCTAGGGGCGGACACATATTTGGAAGGCATCAAAGTTTATACAAAGCTCATAGCAGCTGTTGGTAATGTGTAAGGCAACCTATTATATATATTTATACGTTTATTTACAATAAAAAAGAAAATATTTCAAACAAACAAGTGCTTGCTCATATTGATGAAAATACTTTATGAAATTTGGCACACAAAAACAAATACTCAACAATTTCGGGCTAAATAAATTTGAGTAATACAAAAAAAAAAAAAAAAGAATTTTTAGATTCATGTTCGTTCGATTATTGAATATTATTTTTTCTGTTCAGTCATTCGGTAATTATGGTGTGTTCATTTCAGGTGCTCTTATCAGTTTATCAATTGATATACATATACCGAAAAAAAAAGAACCATAAAGCTATGTATATATGATTGCAGCGACAACTGGGCTACCGTTCGATATTCGCCCAAAGAATGAAATATGACGCATACGCCGCGTTGTGCACACTGGAATGTAGACAACGATTTGACAGCAGATTCTGTGCGGAACTCAGCTAGCCACTGTGTTATGGACATTTTGTCCATGAGCCAGCGGGATAACTGTTAAAGCAGCCACCGCATGGGGTCGGCCAAAGGAAAGCAAAAAATCAAGCAACAACAACAAAAACTTGAAGAAGAAAAGTCGCATGTCACTGACAGGAAATTGTCAGCTGGGTTCAGAAACGTTTGGAATGTCTGGCATGCGACTATGCAAGGACATAAATTATGCTGTTACCCTTAAGGAATAATGGACGTACGCCCCTGCCCCTGCCCCTGCCTCTGCCCCAGCCCCTGCCCATCGAAATACATAGACATACGCACACATTCCGCTGATGACATTGTCCAGGAGCGCCAAGTGCGCCGCATGCCTGCCGATTAGACACGTTAATGCATGTGTCAGCCTATGAAATATGCATTGATACTGTCATGGCAACTGCTCGGCCCCGCCGCCGCTCCGTCGCTCCGCTGTTCGGCCCTGCAGTTGCCAGTTCGCGGCACACAATTATGACAATTTATGCGGCAAATGTGACAGTGGGCCATGGGTCGGCATTAAATCCAACGGCCAGGTGTGGCCCGCACTGCAAATGTATTCCACGCAATTAGCATTGACCATTACCGAGCGAGTGGCGCAAGTTTGGCCTAATGACTGCGGCGCCCTTGCAGCCCTTTAACGTGCTCGTTACCGTTGCCAAACTTAATGCATATCATTTTTACTTTTAATGAGCTGGCAGCAGTTGCTGTCCCCAAGCTCGCCCACACCACCTGCATTTTTCTTGCATCGCCGCCAAGTGCACTTAATGCTGCAAGTTTTTCCTTTTTCTTTTAGATTTTTTGTTGTTGTTATGTGTGTGTGTGTGGCCAAGTTTGCTGCAGTCGCCCACCTGGTCAGGACCAACTTGAAATTAAGTTTTTCCCTATACATTTTTTTTTTCCTTWTTTTTTTTTTTTTTTGGTATTTCTTGTGCGCCTCGCTTTGCATATTTAATTTTCTATAGCTTCCTGCTGGCAACGTCGCGACGTGTGTGAGTGAAAACTTTGGCAAGCTTTACATTTCAATTTGAATTTCTTTATGCCACATTTTTGGTGCACTCTTTAAATTGCGAGTGCATAACCTGCACTCCTATTCCCCACACCCCCTCGCGCATTGCGGAGTAAACTTTTTATTGTACCACTCACACTAATTAGTGCGAGCAAAAAGTTTTTACACTTTAAAGGAAACCCCAAAAAATAAAATAAAATAAAATAATAATAAAGAAAAGGAAAAGTTCCCATAGCTTAGTCAGGCATTTGCATTTGCCAGCCATGAAAATTTTACAGCGTTCTCGAAATTTGTGATGTATTTAAATTAATTCAACAATCAAAATTAAAAGCGAAACATGCTGTAATTAAATTCAATTTACTCGCAACTGCTGTGGCCGAGCCATCCAACTGCGAGTCGAGCAGTGTCTTTGGGGCCGACGTTATAGCCGAGCAATTAAAATCTAAGATTAAACGAGCTTCGGCACGGCCCCATAGCCAAATCGCTGCGTGCCACTGTTTGTCTGGGACAACAAAGTGGTTTTATGTGACGACCAGGCCATTGAAGCGTCGTTGCATGTAATTGAAATACCCACTCACCTAAAGTCTATGCGCCCGCACAGTGGGTGAAAGAAAACGTTGCACAGTTTAAAGCACTCAAACTTTTCAAATTACAAAGTTCCACAAAAAATTGATTAGTGCGATGTCAAGATTTAGATGAAAACTTTATAAATTTAATACCTTCAAAATAGTTGAAAATATAAAATAAATTAAAAAATAAATATAAAAAAATAAAAAAAGATAACCCTGCTTTTTAATGATCTAAAACGAGCATCTATTTCTTTTACAAATGAATATAGCAATAAATATTTTATAAACTATCTATTGATATTCTTTCTGATACTGAAATAAAATTTATAAATTTTTATGCACTCTGCAAAAAGATTTCAATTGAATTGAATTCAAGCAAATTAAATTAGTCATCACAAATTACACACAAATAAAATTTTATTTTCTTTCTAGAGCACGAATCCCGTTTCTAAATGCTGTTTCTTTTTATTTATTTATTTTTGAACTTTTTTATTTCATTTATAAATACATTTATTTATTAGAAATCGGCTGAGTTTCTGTTTGCAGTGACAGAAATTTTGACTCAACTAAATATTTGTTTCAATATATTTTTATTATTATTTCTTCTAGTTAAAATTTGATTGCCTCAGACACACCTGACTATTCAACAAAAAAAAAAAAAAAATTTTTTTTAACAAATATTTTTGTTTTTTTTCTCTTTTTACTTTAAGTAATAATATACTTTCAGGTATATATTTTAAATTTGATATAGAAATAATAGTATATTGTACATATTTATCAACCTCACTTGCCGCTCCTTGTGGAGCACATTGTGGAGCCCAACGATTAGAACCGCCCTTGGCTGTTTAGTTAGCGAAGAGCTGAGCTGAGCTGATATTAAACATAAGAAATAGCAACATCTAAAAAGTGACATTAAAGCAGAGCCACAGACATACAGACACACGTCACGCACACAGAGCTGAGCTGAGCTGCTCATATTCTCTCTGTGGRAAAATAGAGTCAATTGAAGAGCGAGTGCATGTATGTGTGTGCGTGTTCGTGTGTGGTAAATAATTTATTTTGTCATTAAGATAAACTCTAAGACACACACACACATACATATATACTCGTGCAACGTTCGCTTACACACACACACACACTCACACACAGATTCGCTGTTAACCCATGGTGAGCCACATAAACGGCGCAGCTAGAGCCACCAAAACGGGAAAAAGACAAACTAATTAACTTGTTTAGCACCAGGGTGCACAATTTCTCTGCTTTTAGCGTTGCTACCGCTAAACTAATGAGCGTTCTTGTGTGTGCTGATGTGAGTGTGTGTGTGTGTACGCGGGTGGCATTAAGAGTGTCTAAATAGCTTGGTAAGTCGGCTTTGCCGGAGCCCTTTCTTTAAAGCTGCGCCTCTTTCAGCCCCTTTGTAGACACAGCGAACGGGCTATAGTTTTAGCCCTTCCCATTGAAGTCGCTGTCGCAGCTGCAGCTGCGTAACGAACTTTATTGCATACGCTGAGGCGCAAAGTAAAAGCGTGCCGGAAATGGAAATGCCGTCATAGTTACCAAAAAGGCGCACACAAAACGAGGGGAAAATGCCAAATGTAAACTTTTAATAGGTAGTCGCGTGTGTCGCAATCCACACCGAAAACCCACCAACCCACCAACCCACCGACCCACCAACCCACCATCCGCACCGTTCAGTCCAACGTTCTGCATCAACGCGTCGCGACTTGCCGTCGTCTGCATGGCCCAGCAATTGCAATTTCATTTCCGTTCGTTGGCATTTATTTGCCCTTTTGCTTGCTTTATTTCTATATACGTAAAATATATATATATATATATATGAGCAGATAAATACATATATGTGTATATAAATATATATGTACATTGTGCTTCTTCCTTCATGCCTTTAACTTTTTTGGTGTAATACGAAATTTAGACATTTCCCTGCATATGCAATGCCATCTTTGTTTGTGTGTGTGTGTGTGTGTGTGTGTAGCCGTTGTTCTTCGACAGTTGAGACAGTGAGAAAAAAACTCTTGTTGCTGCAGCTGGGCACAAAGCCATCGCCGGAGCTTAAAACTGAGAGAATCTGAGAATTTAATTGAAATGGAGTAGGTAAGCTAAGACCACGGCAAGTGAAGTGAAGAAAAGGATGTCAGCAACTGAATACAAAAGCAAAAGCAAAGTCAAATGAAAGTCACATCTGGCTAATATTCGGTTATTAGAGTCTGTATGAGCAGGACTTGGCTCATAGGGCTGCCACTTGAAGCTTCTCTCGATTCGTTGTGCACTCGGCTTGTTGCCAGTTTAATGGCTAATTGCTGCTTGAGAAACTTGAGAATCAATGCGTACCGCCTCTTGGAAAATTCTTGAGCAGATTCTCAGCAGCCCGTTATCATTATGTGGCTGTGCGTGTGAGAGGAAATCATTTTTGTTTGAACTCCTCGACAGTCGGGCGACTCATCGAGAAAAAGTTTGCGAGCTGCGACGGCTCTAGAGTTGCGAAAGTTTACGGCGCCCAAGAAACTTTCGTTGACAATTTGTCAGGGGATTTTTGACTATTTCTCAAGTAGTGAGCGCTGCTGAGTTGGCAGGCGACAATTTCACTGCTTTTGATAACTGTCAGCGACGGAAACTTCAGTTGCAGACCAGCTCTTAGTTTTTCTAGCACATATTATCCAAAAGAGTCTCAATTATATATATATATATATATATATTTTTTTTTCCCTCCAGCCCAACTAATTGCACAGTTTGTATGCAACRTATTGTGGCTGAGTGCAATTTTCGTTCTCCACACTCGGCGTGCCCGCATAAAGGATTATAAGTTTCGGTTTGGTTTTAGTTTTAGTTGCTTTCCGCTCCGAGTTTCTAGTGCTCCATTGTGTTTTGCCTTTATGTTGTAAATTATTATCATTCACCGTGTGTGGTGCGGCTTACAGTGGGCACAGCCGCCTTCCGCCCAATCACTTTTCAGCTGGC